GTTTGTAGTAAGATATTGGGTCAGTAATGGTTCCTGATTGCATCATTTTGACTGGTATTTGCATCAAGCCTTTGTCAGCTGACCAATATGTTGTACAATTTTATTTGTATACATATGCTCTAACACACACATTGACTAGCATTATAGCAGCCAAAAGGTTCCAGTTAACAATGATAGAGCTGCTATCTTTCAAAACAAATGTTAACTTTGTAAATTTACATTTATCCACAAAATCATGTTGAAAAGTAATCACATTTTTCTATAAAATATTTGATAGCATATGTGGGATCAGGAAAAGGAACACCTTAAAAAGTTTGAGCAGGTTGTAGCTGAGAAAAGAGTCAGGCCCACAGCTCTGATACCTCTGTGGAATATAGCAGGATATGTTTTAGGTATAGTTGATGTAAGTGCTATAAAAATCCAGAAGCCTACAAATAAGCCACAAACCTTCCAAATTGATTCAAATATCCAAAGAGTGATGATTGTGTTTTTTTCTTTCTAAGAAAACATCAGTTTGATTCTCTTCGTTTTCTTAATATTTTGAGCTCTGTTTTTATTGAAAGAAGAAAGTGCTATTCCTAATTGAAAGTTGGGTTTATTTATGCTAAAATGCTGGTGGGAATCCTGGCTGAATATTGAGACCTAATTTTACACTAAATCAGTGTGTTTCATGCTGGCACAGAAATCTTCCAACAAGTGAAAAAGAAGTGGTCTCTTGTTACCAATCTGGGCAGGTTTTACCAACAAATTGCTGTGTGTAGCAGAGAAAACCTTGCTTCTTTTGGAACAGACTTAAATGGCTATGAGTTGCATAAGTAATGTTTTGTGAGGTGCAACACTGATTTATAACCTAATTAAAGTCTGGGTAGCTTGCAGTGTCAGATTCTTACCAATATTTTTGTCTGCTCATTCTTAGTTAAGGTTTGATTTTGTATGTAGGAGCAGGAACTGCTCTACTTGGGAAGGAAGCTGCCATGGCATGTACTGTAGCTGTGGAGGAAGTGATTAGCGAGCATTACGACAAGTGAGCTGCATTTTTTTCTGTCAGTAGTCGCTGTTAGTAGTAGCTGTTAATTACTTGGGCCCTTCGTAAAATAATTTGGATATATCAACAAAGTTGAAATGGTAAATTGGCCACCATAACGATTACCAAAGCTGACGTTTNAAGTTAGGCAGATTGGAAAAACAGTGACTTTTCAATTCTGACAGGTATAACATATTATTTAGCCAATGTACGGTTGCGAATTATTGACATTTGTAACAAGCTGTAGGCACGGAAGAAAATTTAGTGGTGAACATTTAAAACAATAGAGTGTTTATGTCTTGGAACTATCGGTCTGATAGTTGCCCCTTGGAAATTTGATGTTCTTAAAACTAGCATATTTGTTTTAAGAACATCAAATTTCCGCGGGGCAATTATCAGCCGATAGTTCCTCGACAGAGACACTCAATTGTTCAAATAGAGTGTTTCTGTCGAGGAACTATCAGCTGATAGTTGCCCAGTGGAAATTTGATGTTCTTAAAACAAATATGCTAGTTTTAAGAACATCAAATTTCCAAGGGGCAACTATCAGACCAATAGTTCCGAGACGTTAACATTCTATTGTCTTTATTGTTCACCACTAAACTTTCTTCCACATGCCAGTTGAAAAACAGTCAAAAGTCACCAAAATACAGAGCAAATATTTATTCATGCATACAACCTGTCACAAATGTCAATAACTCGCAACCAGAATCGAAAAGTCACTGTTTTTCCAATCTGTCTAACTTCGCAGCCGTCAAACCATTCAAAATTTTTCATGGATGAGTACTATCCATCCGAGTATTTTCTGTGGACGGGCACTATCCATCCGGGTATTTTCCACGGACAGGCAGTATGGGCTGATAGTGTCTCTCCACGGATGAACACTATCATGTCACGTGATCGATATAAACCAATAAGAATCGGAGAAGATTTAGTGCTGAACTATAATGAGCAATAGTAATTGGCCATTGCGTTGCTGAAAAAAAAAAAACAACAACAACAATTTTTGAGTTAAATACTTTTGAGTTGACCAATTTTCTGAAAGGTTCTGAGATGTTAGGAAAACTGCCATGAATTAATTTTTCCTCAGTAGCAATGACAGTCATGACTTAGCAAAAGAAAGAGGTTGCTGTCAAAATATACATGCTACATATTTCTGGTTTGTTTCTTACCTTGAGAATGTAATCTTTTTTTTTTTTTAATTTGGAAAACTATGTAGTTAATACAATATAAATCTCTGTAAATTTCAGACAATACAAAAGTTTCGTGATGAAGAGTTGGAACATCTCCATATTGGAGAGGAACATGATGCTGAAAAGGTATGCTGATAGTATTTGGTATACCAGAGTTTGGAGGATTCAATTGCTGTATCTTTTGTAGGTTTTCAGATTTTTTTTAAAAATAAATGTATAAGATTAGTGTTGAGGCTACAGTTCTGTGATAAAAAAATGCTAACAGGATTTGGTGCTACTTGGCTTTACTTAGAATTAAAAAAAAAAAGTTAATTGTTATGTTAACCATGCATACAGTCTAGGTGTGTTAAACAAAAGGCAGCTATTGGAACTCAATCTTTTATTTTCTAAGTTAATTATAATACCTCCCTGTTTTATGCTTTTTAAATTATCCTCAGGCACCGATGTATCAAGTATTATCAACAGCAATACAGACAGGCTGTAAAGCAGCTATATGGTTATCAGAGAGGATATAACATCACAAACACGTAGCAGTTGACACTTCTCAGTCTCTTCAGTTCTGAGAAACAATGACAGAGGTTCTCCCTTTGTGAGCTATTCACTTGAAAACTGGTCATCACGATGTGCTTGAAGACACTCGTTTAAGGAGACAAATGATCCCCAGTGACTGGTACTGAGGGATGTGAAAATTACAACAGCTGCTCAAATTAAGACTTGGCTTCAAATGAAATAAGTTCAAAGTGATGTTTATATATTTAAAGCCCAAGATAATTGCCTGTCAAAAAAGTCAAAATTGTTAAAAAAAAATACTAGATGACTTGCTACATTTTAATAAAAGATAAATACAATAAGTTGAATCATCAAATATTACTTGATGTTTTACAGCAGTTCCAAAATTTTGTTTTCATCTGTAGTCCAGTTGTAGTTCTCCATTTTTGCTGCATTCTTTTGAAGATTTTCAGACTGCACATTTTAATTTTTGGCAAATACTTGATGTTAGGTAGATTCCCTTGCTATTTTTTATTGTTGTATAGTGTCTAAGAAGTCGTGTCACTCAAAAGGCCGATGATGTAACTAGTAAAGAAACATAGAATGAGTTTCATTTTAGTTGTTCTTTCTTCTTTGCTATAGAACTTTGGGGAAACCACTTTCTTGGGTTTTAAAAGGACATCTTAGTATTTTCTTTGCATGTTTACAAAATCACAGCCTGCTGCATCACCTGCTAGTTACAGAGTCAAAGCCTTGTAGTAGTTACGTCATTCCAAGATGTGAATAATCTGTATTTAATATTAAATTTTCTCCTGATTATGGAAAAAGATGATTGTTCTTTTCATTCCAGGAGAAACTGTTAAAATTCATTTAACCGTTCACACCTTCTGATCAGTATACACATTCTCCATACTGTTCCTTATACATTACCTATAGTGCCAACAAGGAGAATTTGTTTAACAATCATGAGCTCCTTAAGTTGGTGATCATTTCCTTTATTCTCATGGCCTCAAGGTTTGATTCAGTAGTGACATTGTGTGGAGAAATTGGTACAATCATCCATTCAAACTGACAATTTTTTTCGACAGCAAGGTAGTTCTGAGGGAAATCTGAGGGTTGTGACTGGTTCTCATTTGGTCAGGATTTTGCCAACAGAGTCTGACTGTTTCCACAGAAATGGTAATGTGCAGTGTATTTTTGTTTGCAGAAGCTGGCAAATTCAAAATAATCAAGTATGGCCTGAGTGCCATATAATAAACTACTTACTAACCTTGCTTGCTCAAGTCGCAGTAGGAAATATTGGCCTTGGGTTGTTTTTAATGGACCTTGTTGCACTCGGTCTGTACTGCCATGACCTCAAGCCAATACCACCCGGTAGCCTGCGTCCTTGGTTTGTTAGAAGTCAAGATTTGTATTCTTTATACAACGCAGGTCTATTGTTTAGTGTGTTTGGTGATTTTTTGGTTGTGTATAAAAACAGGGACAAGGTTACAATAGCTGGCATGTTTTTGCAAAATTCAATATTTTAATAAACTTTATACAAAGTAAAACTTTTACTTTACAAAAACTCCCATAGGGAGAAACATACATCGAGTTTTGGCACCCTTTACAATCCATAACCTACATGTAGGCCAACTTAGTGAATCCTCTGGCCAAAATCCACACAAAAGAAATTGCTAGGCTAAAACTGTATGTTCAAAGAAACCTCCACTAACACTACAAATTGCTGTGAAACTTATGAAAATTTCTTGTATTGTGAAGATACCCATTTCAAAAATTGGCAGTCAAGAACTGAAATTTAAACAAATGTTTATAATGTTATTTGAGACAACAAATTTTGACTTCAAGAGTTAGTTCAATCAACAGCAATCTGGTCCACCTGTGGAGGTTTCCTTCATTATTAAACAAAACACAGTCATGGTTGATGTTAAATTAGTCCTAAGACTAAGTGCAGCAAGCCCAAAAGAAACCTGGCCTATTCTGCTTTTTGATATGTTGGTTCTTAATCCAAATAACTAAACTAGGATAGTTACCAACTGAAAGTTACATCCAAATATCTCTAACTCTTGTAGTTGCAACGACCCTCTCCACCCTCCCTGTCTCCGTGAGCTCGTTATTGTTCACAGTAAATGGGCTCCTTTTCAATCATTTTCTCTGACTTTAAGACACAGACTTCTACTTGGCTTTGATTTGCAATGACCTTGTTAAGGTGTAATTTTACTTTGTTACAGAAACCAATGAGACATATCATTTTCAGTGCAGACTTTTCAACATGAAAACTTCAAATCCATTAAAAAGAGGAAGCCCATGAAGGAACGTTATCCGATTTAAAAAGTTTAAAAAAAGTTCATTTCAATTTCACACCAGAAATATGACATAAGAAGCCCATAAATTAAGAGGCCTTGAAGCTTGGTCCTTATTAGTGACCCGAGTGTGAGTATGCCAATGAGCTTAAATTTTTTCTACGTATTTTTATGTTGCAGAAAAAGTTTCAATAGACCCATTTCAATAGAGTAATCAATTAATATTCAGAAGTTTCAACAAGTTTAAGTAGAAGACAAAAAATTGCAAAGTAGGCAGCAAATGGAAGTCTGGATTTCTTCTCTGGATTTGTTAATTTCAGGGAAAATAGGCAGTGGTTTTATTTAGTTGCAGTTGTCAGCTCTTATCAAAATACCTGAACATTACAGTTGTAAAAGTCACAAAGTGATCTCTTTCTCAATCAACAACAAAGTAAAGTGTACATCTCCCTTGGGCTTCACTTACTAATCTACTATGCCAGCCATAATCCTTATCTTACCCTTCACACATCAGCTACAGCCTGGCATAGATCATAAAGTTTCAGAGTCCACTGGAAACCCAAGATCACTTATGACATCAAGTCGTTGAACCTCACGTAATACATTGATAAGTCTTTCCAAGCTGCTTTCAGGATCTCTTTGTTCCCACGTAGTAAGAACCTCTTCCATTGGTGAAAAGGTGACACACCTAAGTGCCCTGTCCTCAATGCCTTTTATTTCCTCAAAGCTAAACCCCAACTGTCCCGCAACATCTCTCCAGTTTTGTGATGAGAAAATATCAAGCGATTTACACATCTTTTTCCGTTTTGCATAATCAGAAATCACATGTTTGCTTGTCTGGTTTTCCTGTCCATAACGATTTCCATGTTGTTTATAATTAAAACGTTGCTGAAATCAAAATCAAAATGTTTGGTAAATATTTGATTATCTGCTGTATTACTTGTTTGCCTTCTACAGACTGCTTCCTTAAAGATTTCAGTGTCTGTGTACAAAATTAATGTATCGGTTACTTTTCTCAATAAACCTGATGTGGAACTCTGATATAATGATAATGTACTGCTGTGGAGTTCTGAAAATAGTACCCCATTAATTTTAGGAATTAACAAGCTTAACATTTTAACCCCATGGAATGAATGGCTTCTAATGTCTCCTTTTAAAATCATTTCACTCTCGTGAGTGACCAAGACAATTTCTCCTTACAGTGCCAAGTGATGAGAATAAAGAAAAATATCAACCAGTGGATTATTAGTTAATCAGATACCAAGTTCTCTAAAGGAACATCATAAGAATTGTATCACAGACAGTAGGGAGAATTACTAAAT